TGAACTCCTGCCTTACATGGGGTTGATTCAGTGTGACATTAGCCCAGAGTCTAGTAATGTAATGAATGACCAGTGCCCCCTGCTGTGTGCCAGAGACTGCACTGGATACTTTAACTGTGTTCTCTCACCTAGTTGTCATGACAGCCTATGGCTCATGGGTGCTAATGGAGCTTCCTAGCCACCCTCAAGGTCGTACTGCTAGTGATGGCAGATTAGAGCCCTGGGCTGCCGTCTGTGCTCTCTTCCCCACTGAATTGTGGGTTCCTAGGAGAAAGGTCTTGGCTGATCTCCAGATCCCAGTGCCTGGGATTCATTTGTTTAACGTTGAAGGCTCCCTGTGTGCCAGGCATATGGGTTTCAGTGTCAGGTAGGTAGATCAATAAGTGGGTAAAGGAGGGTGCAGATTTGTGGTAAATTGTATGGAGAGGGGCCTTATGCTGTGGGGGTACCAGAGAGTATAACCATTAACCGCAGGGGTCACATTTGCAGTGGGTCTTGAAGATCACCTAGGAGTTGGCCAAGTAAATAGTCTAGAGGAGACCATCTAATGGACGCCAAGCATGTTGTTAAGAGAATGAGCATGTTGTTAAGCCTATCAAGATAGAAGGTATGGTTACTGCCCGGGATAGGGGTGAGACTAGCTGGAGGGCAGTATTGGCACTAGTCTGTAAATAGCCTTTGCCAACTGAGAAGGCAGCTGGTTTCCCAGTGAGGGACTAGCAGAGCAGCATGTGAGCCAGGAAATAGCAGCGTCAGACATGTTTTTGGATGCTCACCCCTCGGTATTACAGAGGATGAACTCAAGGGGCGGGGGGGCAGAGCTCTGGCAGTGATCCAGGGGAGCGACAGCTCAGGCTGAGAGCGCAGGGAGGGCAGTGAGGGGCACTCGGGGAGGAGCACACACGCTTCCAGCCTTCAGACCTGAACAGTGATCTGTAAGACCTTTTCTTGAACACTGACCCATTGTGAAGGCTGTCACCATAGTGCATGAGCAGTGTTTCATAGACTAGAAGGCCCAGGCCCTGCCCTCCTTCCACGGTGCTGCTGCCCTCCCCACCCTGAGCTGTCACCTCCGGTTATGTTGGTTTGCTCACCTCCTCCATCCACTCCTGCCCTCCAGGCAGGTGCTGCCTTTCCTTTTTAAATATTGGAGTAATAGGTGAATGCATTCATACGGTTCAGAAATCACAGCATAATAAAAGATTTACATTGAGAATTACACCCCCACCCTGTCAGGTAACCACCCGCATTAATCTCTTGTGTATCCTTTTAGAGTTGCTTCAGGAGAAGCTCAGAAAAAAAAAAAAAGTCACTGCCGTCAAGTCAAACCTGACTCATAGCAACCCCTCCTTGGGTTTCCAAGGTGGTATCACTAGGGAAGTAGATTGCCCAACCTTCCTTCCGAGGAGTGGCTGGTGGATTTGAACCGACACCTTTCTGGTTCGCAGTCAGATGCCTTAGGCACTAGGCCACCAGAGCTCCTCAGGAAAAACTAAGCAAATGCAAATATCTATCCTTGCTTTCCACTTTTTCTTACATAAGAAGTTGCATATACTATGTTCCTTGCTTTTTTCCTTACATATCTTAGAGATTTTTCTACATCAGCTACATCTATGACTAGGTATTTCTATCCAGATGTACTTTCCTAGGTAGGTTAGTGTATGATACCTGTATCAGGTATTTCTGTATCATTCTATATATCCATCTTATCCTATTGTTACTGAGTTGATTCCAACTCGTAGCAACCCCCATAGGGTTTCCAAGGCTGTAAATCTTTTTAGAAGCTGATTGCCTCATCTTTCTCCCATGCAGCAGCTGGTGGGTTTGAACTGCCAACCTTTTGGTTAGCAGTCCAATGCCTTAACCACAGTGCCACCAGAGCTCCTATCCATTAGACGGTGCACTATAATTTATTAACCAGTCTCCTGGTGATAGACCCATGGATTGTGTCTAATCTTCTGTGGCTTCAAACAGCGCTGCAGTGAATAACCTTGTACATTTGTTATGTTGTGCACATTAAGATAAATTCTTCAGTGCAGTCATTGGGTTAGAGGGTAAATGCTTCTGTAATTTTGATAGACATGGCCAAGTTGTCCATAGGGTTTTGCCCATCTGTATTCCCACTTGTCACTCACTGGACTGTGTCTCCACAGACTTGACAACATATATTGTTGGGCTGTTAATTATATGGTGTTCCCATAGTGGTATCTCACTGTGGTTCTAATTTTCATTCTTTGTGATTATGAGTGAGGGTGAGTGTTATCTGTGCTGGGAAGTGTTTTGGAGTCCCAGGAGGCTGGGACCATCACCCATGTCCCAGATGGGGAAACTGAGGCCCATGGGAACTGTCAGTGGTGGGGCTTGGCCTGAGGTACAATGGGCCTCCTAAGCTCTGCCCTTCTTTCTTTTGCAGACAAGCATGAAACAAAGCTGAAGGGGGTCATCTACTTTCAGGCCATTGAGGAGGTGTACTATGACCACCTTCGCAGTGCAGCCAAGGTCAGTAGTGGAAGTCACCAGAGGGGCAGAGAGAGACTGTCAGAAGGAAGGGTGGGCCCAGTGGGCTCTGGGAGCAAAGGCCTACAGTCTTTCCTCTTCAGAGGCTCTGACCCATTACTTGTCCTCTTTTAAACTTTCTCTTCCTTTCTCCCTCTCCCCTTCCCCAGAAGAGGTTTTTCAGCTTCACTATGGTGACCGAGGTACCCACCCCCCCGCCGACACACACCTGTAACTGGCATATTAACACCTCCTTCCCCCTACTAGCCCCTGACCCTTGACTCTCACCTCAACTCTCCCTCCCCCTGCCTGGGCCTAAAAGAGGTGGGAGGTGGGCTGTGGAGAGCAGGAAGCTGCCAGGCCTCTCAGAAGATGACAGCAGGTAGGTTTGGAGGTGTGAGGGTCCTCAGAGATTTGATAGAGTACTTAATAGACATCTAACCCACCCTCTTATGCCCACCCCAGCCTTGAGCTCTGCTCTTCCGAGAATGCTGGGGTCCAGCAATCCTCTCTGGCTTTTCTCACCTGCCGTTGTGTTTTGCCGAGAGAGGACTCTGGTCCTCACTGGCATAGCCTTTTGGTTCTGGTTCTCTTAGTTTCACTTTTAGCTTGGAGATGCTGAGAAGCAGTATCCCCACTTGGGGTCAGGGTATGGTCCTGAGCAGACCCTGACAGGGTCCAAAGAGGCTGGGAAATCCAGGGACAACCTGGGAACAGCCCAGCCTGGGGTCCATATGGGGTGGTGCAGTCTCAGCCTGAGCTCCAGGGCCTCCTAGGAGGAGGAATGGTGGGGGCAAGAGCCCTCTCAGACCCTTGTCTCTCCTCTTGGCAGAGCCCAAACCCAGCCCTCACCTTCTGCGTGAAGACCCATGACCGGCTGTACTACATGGTGGCCCCATCTGCAGAGGCTATGCGCATCTGGATGGATGTCATCGTCACCGGGGCCGAGGGCTATACTCAGTTCATGAACTGACCGCCTTGGGCCTCCCTAGACCCTTGGGCCAGCCCAGGACCCATGCCCAGCCACCTGCTGCTCTGCCCACCCTGGACAGTCCCATAGCGGACCCCAGGGGGAGAGTGCGGCCAGGGGTACAAGAAGACCTATAATATTCTGTGAGGAGTTCAGTTTGGAGTTTCTGGGCTCCAGCCCCTCAAGAACCAGCCAAGAGTTGAAAGGTGGGGAGGGGGCTTTGTTGCCTCTTAGGAGCCTGGAACCTCTAGTCACCTTTCAGGGGTCTGGCCAGGGCTGAGGGCGGTGGAGCTGGCCCAGAGAGGGCCTCCTGCTCTGAGCTGGTGTCTGCTCCCTCGGCCTATTTTCTTTTGTAAAAAACAAATTATGGTACCAGAATCTGCCAAAGATCCCCTCTTGCCTCAGCTCCCTGTGCAGGGGTCTTGGGAGCTGACAGAGCCACATCCAGAGTGGGGTAACAGCTCAGGTGGTGTAGTTCTCAACCCTACTCCACTCCATCATTCTGCCTTTTTTTTTTTTTTTCCTTTTCCTTCCTCAAGGGCCAGAGAAAGCAACGAGTCATCCTTGAGGTCCCAGCCCCATCCCCTGTTGCAGACCCATCCCCATGGTCCCCATAGTGACTGCTTCATCACCATGGTTACACTCGTTGCCGTGGCGCTGTGGCTCAGCGCCTACTTCAGCCTATGGGACCCATTCAAGGGTATGTGTCACCATTTCTCCAGCCCAGGCCCCTGGGCACCTTCTACCTGCCCCTGCCTGTGTCTCCAGGCCCTGATGCACAGCCTGTTGGCCCCAGGCAGCCCTCTCCCTTCCACTCGTGCCTTGCTTAGAGCTAGAAGGTATGACACCAGGAGAGCAAGTGCCCAGAGGAAAGGCGATGTGTATGGGAGAGGAAGCTGGAAGGCTCTCCTTGGTTCTGCACAGGGTTGAGTTTCTGACAGGGAGAGAGGGCTGCTCAGTGGCTCCATGAGGGGAAGGCTGAGCAGGAGAGGAAGTGAAGACGAAGGGCCTGAGCTCTGGCCTGCCCTCCCCTCAGCCCAGGAAGGGTGATGGAAAAGGAAAACAAGTGAGCAAGCAGCCCTTCACGCCTTAACACTAATCCCACCTCCCCTGCCCTCCTCCCCACACCAGGGCCAGGGCCCATGGTTGCATGGGCCCGGCCTGGGTGTTTTCCAGTATTTGTAAGCATTTCAGCAGAACAATAAAGCATTTGGAGTATGTAAGTGTTTGGTGGGGGGGGGGCGGCAGGTTGTGCATGAGGCTGGGATATTTTCAATAGCAGGGCTAATATTACACTTGTAATGTTGTTAATGCAGTATTGCCACCTTAGTAAAGGCTCTAGGAGGGACCCAGACCCTAACCCATGGCCACTGTGAATAGAGGACTGGCTGGGGATAGGAAGGGCGTAGGGTCTTCAGGGATGGAGGAGGAAGGATGAAGAGGCAGGAGAGGGTAGAGACTCATGCAGAGGTTTAATGAAGCAGGAACTAGAGCCAGATGAGGAGTGAAGGTGGGTGGGGCAGTGCTATCACTGTTACCATGGCAGGAGGCTGAGCAGGAGGGCTGCAGCCAGGCAGTGGGGTTCCCGGAGAGCTGGCCAGGCCCCCGAGGTCAGCCGGTCACCATAGCGGTCCAGGAGCATCAGAACCACTCCATTGGTCCAGCCAAATCCCTCCTAGAGAGAGATGTATGTCTGGTGTGCCAGGATCTCAGGGGATCAAGCCCTTTGGGAGTCTGGGGTCTATCCAGGAGCCCTGGCCCACTAACCCCAGGAGTGCCAAGGAGCACTAGTCAGATGAGGCTCCACATGGACCTACCAACAGGAAACTGATGCTCAGAGAGGGCAAGTCATGGTCAGCAGAGCCCCAGAATTCTCTGTGAGAAATTCACCCTGGCCCACTCACCTGAACTTCATACTCCCCTCCTCCTCCCGGTTGTCCACCATTGCTGATGTCATACTGGGGACAAGAGGACGGTCTACACGTCAGGCAGTATCCCACACCACCACCACCACCACCACCACCCTAGCCCTATAGGGAAAGCAGGGAATTGGACCCCCCTTGGGAAAACCCTATGGCCTGCAGCTCTAGCCCTTGCAGTGCCCAAGAATGTCCACTGGGTGCCACCACCCTCCCTGGTTTCTTGTTGGCCCTGGGCTTTCCAAAGCCTGACACTTCCCCATCTCATAACACAGAGGGGACTGGGCACAGGGCAGCTTACCTTCTCGTACATGGCAGACTTTTTGGAGTAGGCATCAAAGTTAGTTCGGATCCAATTCTGGGCCAGCTGGAAAGCCACTTCCTGGGTCCTGAGTGAAGGCGACTTGGCCAGACCTAGACACCCACCCACCCCAGGTGAGACCTTGAATTTCCAGAGCCCGCACCCCAGGGGGAGCAGAGGAGGGAGAGGTCCTAGACCTTCAGACCTTCCTGGAACTGTGGGCCAAACCTGCTCTTAATCCAGAGCTGATTCTACTGGACGGGTGGGAGTAGATATGAATGTTTGCTGAGTGAGGCCTGACTGAGAGCTCACAGGAGCAAGAGAAGTAGAGAAAGTGGACCCCAAAACCTTTGTTCGCACCTCCCCAGTACCAGAGAGAAGACACACCCTCTACATTCAGGGAGGCAGGCCTCGGAATGGACCCCTCATCCCTCCCTACCTCTGATGACCAGGTCCTGCAGCGGGGCCCAGGCATTGGGGAAGTCCCACTGTTGGCCTGTGTTTCGGAGAGAGGTCGGGATCCCATACTTGTAGTTCAGGATCTGGCTGTCCTACAAGGTTCCAGACATTACTATGTCTGTGGGTGAGCCTAGAGGGGGAGCCAGGATGCTGGGCCATCCAGGAAACCCCATGACTTTTTCCTGGCCCGTCTGTTCTTGGCTCACAGCTGCCCCCTCGTGGCTCTAGTGGGACCCACAGGCTAGTGAAGGGCATAGAGCAGGAAGGCATGGCTGGCTGCCACTACCCAGGGTCAAGGAAGGAGCAGACAGTCTTGCCTCTTGTGTCCCAGACCCCTCCCTTGCTGTCCATACCTCCAAATATTTCAGAGCCTTGTCCGCAACTGCAGGGTCAGAGAAGCAGCCGGCCCAGAGAGGAGTGAGGTTGGATGGGTAAAACTCTGGGTTCTTCTTCGCATTCTCAAGGTCATAGTCGAACCAGACACCTTTCTCCTCGTCCCACAGCATGGCCTTCAGGGCATCTAAGCGCTGTGCCCGCAAATTTCTGTACTTTGTAGCTTGGGAGTCATTCCCTGGGGCAGTACTGCCTTCAGATTGGAGCAACCAGGTCCCCTGCCCTTGAGTCTATGCCTTAGAGAGCTCTACTCCAGCCTCCTTTGGTTTGTGTTCCTCTCCAAGGGATGAAAAGTCCTAATGACTAAGGGGCATGCCTGTCTGGAGCCATCACATTCTAGGTATAACCATCACCTACTGCCATGAGTCAATTCCGATTCATAGTGACCCTATAGCACACAGGAGAACTGCCCCGTAGGGTTTTCAAGGTTGTGATCTTTACAGAAGCAGACTGCCATACTTTTTCCCAGCAGAGTAGTGGCTGGTGGGTTCAAACTGATGACCAAGTGTTTAACCACTGTGCTATCATCAAACCCAAAAAACCAAACTCGCTGTCGTCGAGTCAGATCCAACTCATAGCAACCCCTCCTTGGGTTTCCAAGGCTGTATCACTACAAAAGTAGATTGCCAAGTCTTCCTTCTGCGGAGTGGCTGGTGGGTTTGAACCACCAGCCTTCTGGTTAGCAGTAAAATGCCTTAGGCACTATGCTACCAGAGCTCCCATGCCACCATCAAAGACCCTGGAATTGCCTAAGCAAATGGCCCTGCATTGTTCTCGGGGCCTGTACTCGCTGGTGCCTGGCAAAGCATCCTGAGAGTACTGGCTGTGGGGATACCTCTAGTTTGAAGGGGTCAAGAGCAGCTACTTAGGGTTGGGGAGAGGTAGTGGAGGGAGCTTGGATGTGTGGCTAGGGTATACACTTATATGCCTTAGATCCACCCCACCCCCCTCAGTAAGGAAGAGAGGAGAGTGAGATGATAAGGGTGGGTTCTGTCTGTGCTCTTGCCTGGTACACATGTTAGTGCTGGGTGGCACTAGGGGAGAGAGTTTGAGCAGCCTGAAATCTGGAGGACCTTCACCTCAGGGTCCTACTTCCAGTTTGCCAAGGCTGAGACAGGAGCCCAAGCTCCACTAGCACCCACCCCCGCCTTTCCCCACCCTGGTTGCTCACCCAATCTGGAGTAGAAGTTGCTCATCAGTGCCTCTGCTTGGCACAGGAAGGCATTGAGGTCAACAGGCACCATTTTGCTGGTATGGATGGTGCTAAGCAAGCTGGGGTTTGAGCGTTTGGAGAGCCAGCGGGAAGAGAAGTCCCAGCCAGACTCGGCCCCAGCCTTTAGCTCAGCCCACAGAGCCTCCCGGTCACCTATGAACACAGAGCAGGTGCTCGGCCAGTCCTGGAAGCAGAGCCAGGCCTACCACCCATGGTAGATGCCCAGTCTCTGCCCTGAGGCCACTTGCACCTTGTTGCCACTCACCTTCTGGCAAGGTGTCCGCCAACTCTGCATCTTTGCTATAGGACTCTGGCCTGGAGAGGAGGGAGATGCAGCCTGGGTCAGGTGGGCCTGCAGCCCCTCTGTGTTCAAGCCCAGAGCCGTGCCCACTCAGCCGCTGAGAGCCATGCTGTCCAGGCCTCACAGTCCTGGATTTCTCTCCAGTATCAGAAGTTGGACTAAACCACTTGCCCTCCTTCCCAGGAACATCTTGATGCATAAACCAGAGTGTACAGACAAGATTGAGGGCAGGCCCAGTAGTTCCTCACCTGGGTCCCCCGTAAGGAACATAGTAGCGATTCAGGGTGTAGTTCTTTCCTCCAGAGCTCACGCTGATGCTCCTGTTCTCAGCCCAGAAGTTCAGTTCCAAATCCAGAGTCCCAATGTTCTCCCTGAAGTGAAGCCGGGCACTATCTCAGCCCAGGGCCATGCTCCAGCCCTGGGAGAGCACAGGAATCGCCCTTCCCTGACCCATGACCCTGAATGATGGGGCTGGGGGTGGGGCTGAGACCCACCTTAGGAAGGCAATGTCATTGGTGTAAGTCACATAGCGGTCCATCATGAGAGTCAGGAGTGGGGGCTGGCTCCGCTGCAGGTAGTACACACGCCCGCCATTGGGGATATGGCCATAGCTGCCGAGAAGGAGTTCTGCCATGATGACCTTTGCCCAGCTGCCAGAACCAAGGCTAGCTCCAAGCCCAGCACATCTACCTCTCTTCCCTCCTGACCCCCTCTTACGTTTTCACCAGGTCCAGGAAGTTCTGCAGCATGCCCTTCACCGTCTCAGGCATCTCTGAGAGGAGCAGGCCCTCCATCACCCAGTAGGAGTCCCTGGGGAAAGGGATAGCTCAGGCCTCACCAGAAGCCACCCTGTTCAGGACACCTCCAGGGTCTTCAGTTCCCCACATCACTTGACCCCAGAGGCTCCCAGGCCCCTGGTCCCTGTACTCACCAGTAGTAAAACTCAACAAAGCGCCCACCGGGCACAATGAAGGGCTGTTGGGAGTATATCAGAGAGAACTTCTCAGGGTGGCTGAGAACCTCTGGTTTCATCTGGAGTTGAGGAGAAAGGGCATGAGGGAATCCAGACTCGCCAGAGAGTGGAGTGAGGAGGAGATACGGGTTGGGCAGTGGAGCCAAAGGGCCTGGGCTTGTGTGTTGGGGGTACTACTGACTGGCCAGGGGGTTTGGACAAGGCCTGGGGCTGCTAGGAGCTCAGATCTCCTCACTTCCCACATGCCAACCTCTGGAGTGTAAACATTAGATATTGAATGCTAAATGAGAGGGTGTGTGTAACACCCCAGCCACTCAGCAGGCAGGTATTCAATAGCAACCACCATTATAACCATCCTGGTGAGCTGAGTAGGATTCCCTCCTGGTTCCCTTGGCCCTCCACTTCTCTGTTGTCACTACCTATCAGGCCCAGGACATCAACCCCCACTCACCCCCATTCTCTGGTCCAGATATGGACAAAACCCCAATCCTTTGCCTAGCTATGAAGGGACAGCAGAGGTGGGACCAAAGACCCTGCCATAGGGCTTCTGTGTGTTCCCATCACACATGTGTACGCATTTCCCACTTGTTTCTGTGTAGGGCAGAGGGTTGCTAGTAGGGGAAAGTTCAACTGGTCTCAGTTATTTTGAGGGGAACATGACACTGGGATCCCTAGGCTGTTCCTAAGGGCTGGGTGAGACAAGCATCCATGTGAATGAAGAGGCACTGAGTGCCACCTTACCAGCCCTCACCAGGGCACTGGGCCTGAGAGGGAGCCAGGCACCTACTTGCTGTGCAGGCTTGGGCAAATAGCTGCCCTCTCTGAGCTTCTGGATAAAGAGATAAACTACGTAACAGGCTGTGCCAAGAACAGAGGTTGGCCACAATCATGACAATTATTATTCATAAGACAAAGTCCCCTCCACGAGAAGCTCAGGGAAGATGGAGCCCAGCATTGGACTAAACAGTAAGCAGGTGGTGTAAGGGGCAGCAAGGAGCAGCCTGGATACACTGGGTTTGCCCAGGGCAGACTGGGGAAGGCTTCCAGGCAGAGGTGAGCCATTAGGAGCAGTTAGGGTGAGTATCTTCCCTTAGAAATTCTCTTTCTAGCGAGATTTTGAGTAGGGACCCAGGCAGGGGGGCTTGGGTGTTGTGTCCTCAGGAAAGGAAGTCCATCTGTGCTCTGGGGTCAGGCTTAGAGCCCTGCAGCCCTGCATTGACACCCCTCTCCAGGGCTCTCATCCTCAGCCAGGCCTGGGGGCAGGCCCAGGACTCCAGTACCTTTTTCCCCAGCTTCTTCCAGAGCTGGTGCAGCTGCCCTGCCCAGGCCTGCAGCTTGGCATCAGAGATCTTCTGTAGGAACTGGGGGCTGGAAGAGGGCCGGTCCCACAGGGTTCAGGGAGGCAGCCCTGCCCTAGGTGCCCATCTCCTCCTGCTCCCTGTTCAGGGCCTTACCTCTCTTTCCAGTCCCCAGGGGTCCAGGGCTGCAGCTCCTGCCCTACTGCCTGGAAGTGCTTTTCAACGAACTCCTGCAGCTGCTGCTGGGGGATGGTGGAGTTGTGCGCCTTGGCCAGTTCCTTAAAACTCTGCAGGACTTGGTCTGGAGAGCAGTGGGGGAGAGTCAGGGGGACCCTGAGTCAGAGGCCTGGCTTTGCCCCCTACCACCTTTGGGTGGAAAGTTGAGGAGAAGATGGGTCCCACTCCCTTACCTGGAGCCATGGACAGTGGCATGTCTACAAACTGCTTGTCATCCTGGAAGAGCCTGGCCATCTGAACTTGGTGTAGGAGGTCCCCATAGCAGTAAATCTGGCTGTAGGGATGGTCAGGGATGGGGATCATCAGGCCACCCCCGCCCCATTGGGCAAGATAAGAGGGTTAGAGTCTGGGCAGACTGGTCAGGGTGTGCTCCCTGTGGACTGGACAAAGGTGTATGTATTGGGAGGGATGTTGGAGGTGTAGTGATGCACAGGGCTGAGAGAACCTGTTCTGGTTACTTAGTGCCACTCTGACAAGAAATGACCACAAATGGGATGGCCTTAACAAACAGGAGTTTATTCTTTTTTTTGGGGGGGGGGGTTGAAACACATGCTTTTGTATTTTATTTTATTTTATTATTTTTTTTTTTAATTAGGATTTGGGTGAAGATTTACAGAGTAAATTCACCTTTCATACAGCAGTTCACATATACTTTGTCTCATGTCATTGACCAAAATTTACAATACAGCAGCTCCCCTCCCACTTCCTCCCCATAGTTACCTCCTCCCAGTGTCCATCCCTTCATACTCTTCTGCACCCTGAGCTATCTCCCTGTGCATAAGCAGCCCTTCCTTCTCCCATGATTGTTCTCTCCAGGGCGTATGTCTACTTGAGGTAAATGTTTAACTCACATGCCTGTACTTTGTTTGGCTGGAAACCACAATTGTGGGTTCAATTCCAGACCTGAAGGGCAGCTAGGGGCCATAGTCTCAGTGGTTACACCAGGCTCTATTGGACCAGCAAACCTGGTCCCCACCCTCTTCTTCTTTTTTTTTTGCCTCCAAATGATTTTGAGTTTTGTACCACATTGTTCTCTCTCTTTATGCAGGATCTCTTACATCCCTTCCAAGTGGATGGCAGTGGTAGCTGGGCACCATCTAGTTCTTCTGGTCTCATAGTTGTATAGGTTGCAGATCGGATGGTGTACCAGTCGCTAGGAGTGATTGTTTCCATTAATTTTGGGTTTCTTCTTTCTTCTTGACGAGGAGAGACCCGTTGTTGCATCTAGATGGCAGCTTCCTAGCTTTTAAGGTCCCAGTCACTACTCGCCAAAGTAGTAGGTGGAACAATGTTTTGTATAGTATGTTATGCCAATTGAGCTTGATGTCCCCTGCGACTATGGTCCCAAGCCCGCAGGATCAACTACTCGGTCCCTCTGGATAGCTGGCTCTGACCAAGAGGAGTTTATTCTTACAATTTGGAGGCCTTAAGTCCAAGTTCAAAGTGCCAGGCTTTAGGGGCTAGGTGAAAGCCCCTCAACCTTGGGGTCCAGCTCTGCCTCCTGCTCCCGGCCCACTGAAGCTAGAGACATTGCTTCACTCAGAGAGCTGCTGGCTGCTGAGGCTGAGAAGCCCCAAGGTTGACAAGTAAAAAGGCACAGTCCTGATGTTACCAAACCACATGGCAGGCCATTAAGTCCATTGTAAGTCCCAAGGTCAGCAGAGCATGGCAAGCAGCTGAGCAATGATATGGCTACATGCAGGGTCCAAGCGTGCCATAGGCTAGAGACCATTCCCAAGGCTTCTCCTTATATACAAGAAGCAGACCACATCCCAAAGGCAGCTACACAGCTGCTTATGGTAGATCCCACCATAGAGTTGATTGCCAGTCTCATCATGGGAAATAACTACCACCAGCTGCCCAGCCATTCAATCAGGCCCAGCCAAGTTGACACACAAACATAACTACCACAGAACCAGAAAGGTCTTTCCGTATGTTTAGAATTCAGCCTAAGAGTTGACAAAACAATTGATCACACAGTCTCTTGACAACGATGTCAAGATAATTGCTTAGGATGAAACTTATTAGTCCAGATGCATCTTTTTCTTTCCTATTCCATGCCTGATCATCAGCAAATTCTGTTAGGGCAACTTTTAAAATCCATCTCCTATTGAATCAGTTCTTACCACTCCCAGTGCTACCAACAGAGCCTACCCCTGACCCCCTCTTCTCGGCCTCCATGCCATCTGTCCCCACTCTTGTCCCAGCCACACTGGCCTTCTTCCTGGTCCTCAAAAGGCCAGTGCCTCAGGGCCTTTGCATTGTAGTTTCCCTGCCTGGACTTCCTTCCCCTTGATCTACATGGGGATGGTTCCTCCCACAGTTCTGCTCAAACATCACCTCCTTAAAGATACCTTCTCTCCTCATCTTGAAATATGCTCTGCTAACCCCCATGAGCTGTCTGCTCTTTTGCTAGTGCTCAGATCACCATATATCTTCTATTAGCAATTTTCTTGCTTATTACGTAACATCCTTGAAGGCAGGGACCTTTTTTTATGATCATTGCTGTACCCCAGGAAGCTGATGGACTGGTGGTAAAATGAAGAGTAGATGACGGGTGTCCTGTGGATCTGGCAGCCAGGACAGTGTCAGTTCCCTCTACTATTTGGAGGCAGAAACTGAGGTTCAGGAAAGTGGTATGACTTGCCCACAGTCACAAAGTATCAGGGTTAGGGCTTACCCACTGGTACTCTTGCCAGGCTCTTAGCCCTTCTCACGCCCGGGGTAGGGAAACCAGGCAGTAAATTTGCTAGAACAATCCTGAAAATAGCCCTGCTCAGTTCAAGCAGCAGTTCAGAAGCAGGAAGGGCAGGGTGGGCTCTGGCCGGTAGTGTCCTGGACCATCCATAGCAGCTGTACCTTTTCTCAGCTTCTCTTCCTTCTGAAGGGCTGAGCCCCAGAGCTTGAGAGCTCATCTCAGCCTTTCAGACCCAGCCCCTCCAACTCCATGATCCCTTACTCCCTACCTCTCACAAGGTGGGGGCAGAGCCTCCTGGCATCTTAGCCCCAGGCCCAGCAGAAGCAGCAGGCACAGGGTCCAGGTCTTCCCATGCATGGTGACCATGACTGTGACCGAACAAGCAAGCCCAAGTCCTTGGATAGCTGGGGCATGGCCTGGCTTGCCTGCCAACTCAGAGCAGCCAAAGTCCGGGCTTTGAGGCGTGGCCACTTGAGGGCCCCGTGCCTGGTCTTCACATGGCCGGCTGGCCCCTCCTGCTCTCTTGGCAAGAGGAGACCTCTCCCAAACCCCTCCAGCAGTAAGCACCAGTGAGCCCTGCCTGCCCTTGCTGCAATTCCTCTCTTCTTGTTCTCCAATTCAGCTGGCACCGCCTGCTTAGACCCTTCCATTGGAGACATGGGGCAGGAGGTGGATCTAGGAAGGGGGCACATGGCTGTGACCCAGATCTCAGATGCTTGAGTGCCCCCAAGACCACCAGATGAAGAAGTCACTCTTTTCCTTAACAATTTCAAAAAGAATGGCTTGAGTTTGTGCCTTCGGCTGTGGTATGAACCCCTGAGTTCTCATCTACAAGGAAATGGAGAATTTAGGACTTAACACATCTTTTTACCACCTCTGGTTTTCATGTCCTAACTCAGCTGAATTCTCAGTGAACTTTCCTGTCAATGGCTTCCTGGATATTGGTCTTCACTTCCTGAAAATCCTTTCGGCCATTCTCCAGTGGGAGGAATTCCTTGCTGACCACATATCCCTTAGGTCCAGTTTTATCTCCAAATCTTCTGTATTTCCCTCCCCCAACTCTAGCTCTCCAGTGAGTTTTTTTTTTTTTTTTTTTTAACTCTAGCTCTCAGCTAACAACCCTTAAATTCCTATTAAATATGTTCAGAACTGCTCACCTCTTGACTCCTCCCTAAACCGAGCTTGGTCTCCTTTTTTGCCATCCAAAATCCCTTTCGGGAGCTGGGTCAAAGAAAGGTCACTAGTCAGCAAAGTAGGCTCCATAGGGCAACATGGCACCCAGATGGGCTTCTCCCCATGACATCTCATAATCACCATTGATTAGGAAAGGGCCAGAATCCACTCCACCACAGGCACAGTAACTTATTGACCGTCATTTGCAGATAAGGAAACTGTTATCGGTTATTAGGTGACCTCAAGTCGGTTCCAGCTCGTAGTTACTGCACGAACAAGAGAACAAAACACTGCCCCATCCTGCCCCATCCTCCCAATTGTTGCTATGTTTGTGCCCATTGTTGCAGCCACTGTGTCAATCCATCTCATTGAGGGTCTTCCTCAATGACGTCCTTCTCCAGGGACTGGTCCTGCCTGTTAACATGTCCTAAGTAGGTTAAGAGGGAGTCTCCCCATCCTGGCTTCTTAGGAACATTCTAGCTGTACTGCTTCCAAGGCAGTACAGCTAGAATTGTTCTTCTGGCAGTCCAGGGTATATTCAACATCCTTTGCCAACACCCCAATTCAAATGCAGCAATTCTTCTTAGGTCTTTCTTAATCACTGTCCAGTTTTCACATGTACATGAGGTGATTAAAAATATCATGCTTTGGGTCAGGCATACTTTAGTACTCAAGGTGACATCTTTGCTTTTTAACACTTTATAGAGGTGTTTTGTAGTACATTTGCCCAATGTAATATGTCATTTTAGTTTTTGACTGTTGCTTCCATGGGTGTTGACCATGGATCCAAGTAAAATGAAATCTTTGACAAAGTCTCTATTTTCTCCATTTATCATGATATTGCTTATTGATCCAGTTGTGAGGATTGTTTTTTATTTTATGTGAAGGTGTAATCTATACTTAGGGCTCTAGTTTTTGATCTTCATCACTAAGTGTTTCAAGTCCTCTCTTCACTGTCAAAAAACAAGGCTGTGTCATCTGCATATCACAGGTAGTTAATGAGTCTTCCTCTAATCTTGATGCTGTGTTCCTTCTTCATATAGTCCAATTTATTGGATTATTTGCTCAGCATACAGATTGAGTAAGTATGGGGAAAGGATACCACACTGATGCACACCTTTCCTGATGTTAAACCATGCAGTATCCCCTTGTTCTGTTTGAACAACTGCCTCTTGGTCTATGTACTGGTTGAGCATGAGCACAATTAAGTGTTTTGGATTTCTAGTCTTCAACAAAAAAAAAAAAAGAAAGAAAACCAAACTCACTGCCATGGAGTAGATTCTGACTTATAGCGACCCCCATTGGGTTTCCAATGGAGGTAAATCTTTATGGAAGTGGATTGCCCCATCTTCCTTCTGCAGAGTAGCTGGTGGGTTTGAATTGCCAAACTTCTGACTAGCAGTCAAATGCCTCAGGCACTGCGCCACCAGAGTTCCTTATTCTTCAAAGAGTTACCCATAATTTGTTATGATCCACACAGTCAAGTGCCTTTGCATAGTCAATAAAACACAGGTAAATATCTTTCTAGTATTCTCTGCTTTCAGGCAACATCCATCTGGCGTCACCAATGATATCCTTCATTCCACATCCTCTTCTGAATCTTAACCTGAATTTCTAGCAGCTCCTGCCTATGTACTGCTGCAGCTATTGTTGAATTATTTTCAGAGAAAATTTTACTTGCATGGGATATTAATGATGTTGTTTGATAATTTCCACATTCTGTTGGATCATCTTTTTTTTGGAATGGGCACAAATGTGGATCTCTTCCAGTCAGTTGACCAGGAATTGTCTTCCAAATTTCTTGGCATAAATGAGTGAATACCTCCAGTGTTGCAGCCATCTGTTGAAACATCTCAATGGCTGTCCTGTCAATTCCTGGAGCCTTGTTTTTCATCTTCATTGTAGATTGGATTTCTTCCTTCAGTACCATCAGTTCTTGATCATATATACTATCTCTTGAAATCATTGAATGTTGTCTGATCCTTTTTGGTTCAGTGACTGTTTATTCCTTCCATTTTCTTCTGATGCTTCTGTGTTGTTCAGTTTTTGCCCATAGAATCCTTCAATATTGTAACTCGAACCTTGAACTTTTCTTCAGTTCTTTCAGCTTGAGAAATGTGGAGTATGTTCTTCCCTTTTGGTTTTCTAACTCCAGATCTTTGCACATTGATTGGCCCTGGTGAGAGTTGAGGAGGGGACAGAGGCCAAGCTCATGAGGAGAGCAGTTTCCCCTTGACGCAGTAATTTCTTTTGACAGTTCTGTGGGGGCAGGCATGTAAGATATTGCCCCATTTAACAGATGAGGAAGCTGAGTTCAGAGAGGCTGATGTTCTTAGACTTGAAGAAAGTGAAATTTGTAAGAGGCCACCACAGGTTCATTGAGACCAAGTCCCTCATTTTACAGAGAACCATAAGGCTACAGAGGAGGGACTCAGCAGTAGAGGTATGGGAGAGCTTCTGGGATAGAGGAGGAGCTGGCAGGGGAAGGTGTGCTGGACCACCATGGGGTTACTCCATTGCAGTGGGGCCACCAATCTGCTCACTTCAGCACTGCCCCTCCTCCCAGGGCAGGGCCCAGAGCAAGACTTAAATCATAACCAGACTCACTGTCATCAAGTCAATTCTGACTCATAGAGAGTTCCATTGGGTTTCAAAGGCTGTAAATCTTTTTTTTCTATTTTTTTAATTGTGATTTGGGTGAAAATTGACAAAGCAAATTCGCTTTCCATACAGCAGTTCACATACACTTTGTCTCGAAGGCTATAAATTTTAACAGAAGGAAACTGCTTCATCTTTCTCCTGCAGGGAAGCTGGCGGGTTTGAACCACTGACCTTTTGGTTAGCAGGCTTAAGCATTACACAACTAGAGAAAGACTGCCCTCAAAAAAACAAACCCACTGCCACTGAGTTGATTCTAACTCATAGTGACCCCCATTGGGTTTCCAGTGGAGGTAAATCTTTATGGAAGTAGATTGCCCCATCTTCCTTCTGCAGAGGAGCTGGTGGATTTGAATCGCCCACCTTCTGGTTAGTAGTCAAATGCCTTAGGCACTGCACCACTAGAACTCCTTAGGGCAAGACTAGAAAGCCTTAATCTCCCCTCCCCTACTCCTTTGCCCAAACCACTGCCCTTTGTGGATTAACACATCTTTTTCTAGCCCCTCAGTTACCTGAAAGATGGGTGAGCCACAGCAGTGCACACAGAGGTGAGGACTACTGAGCGCTCTCAGACTTTGCATGTTTCTTCATTTCTGCAGATGGCAGCAATTTTTGCAGGGAGGGTGTGGAGGGTGCAGCTGGGCCAGGCACTAACCTGCTGCAGCTGCCTGGGGCAGCTGGCCTCAGGTTCACCTAGGCTGGCAGCCTCTTGTTCTCACCTCAACCACCAGTGCTTTCACTCTTCCCCTGGGAACAAAGCCTGGGGGCAAGGGCTCTGGCCACACCCAGACGACCCTGCCTCTCATGGAGTTCCTCTGCCACAGCCCAACAGACTTGCCTGATTCCCAGCAGCATTCAGATGCAACCAGGTGACACCAACTCAAACCATACACCCTTCCTCCCCACAATGATTGATGGGATTAGCCATGTTTGTAAATTTCTATGAGAGATGTTGCAAATCAGAAGTGGAACCCAGGAGACCTAGACTGAAGATTTGACTAAACCACTGACAAGGCTGTGTGCCCTTGGGCAAGTCACCAAACCATTCAGGGCTTTTATACATAAATTGATGGCTTTGCTCAAGATCAGGAGTTGCAAACTCAAATTCTGTTACATCAATGAATAAAACAAGGGTATAAGGGAAACCACAGTGCAAAGGGAATAAAAGTGGTGGGACCCCAGGCTTGGGGAGAGGTGGAGACTAGGGTGATCTGAAAGTGTATTCCTGCCTAACAAGTGTCTCTGAGTTTCTTATTTGTCAGATCTCCTGATATTTCCAAGGAAGGTGGAAATCCACATTTCTATGTGTACTTTTCCAATTTTATAACACTGTCTCAAACAGTGTTTTGCACTGTCTGCAAATCCAAGAGTGATTCTTGTGCATTGGAGGAGTGACTGGGAAGAGCTGTGTCTCTACTTATGGGCTTTGTGGACAGGGAGTCTCGTGTTCTCCCCTAGAGTTCAGGGTCCCCTCGAACAAGAGCTCAGCCTGAACAGTGTGACTCTCAGTAATCTGGTGCCCCTTC